AGTCGTATGCGCGATCCAATCTGCCCTCCCATCGACCTGTTCGTGTCGAGCGTAGAGGCCTACGATCGTTTTGTCCTACGGGATAGTGCGGCCGTACTCTCTGCATTCGAACCCCCGCGAGCGGTGCTCCTTCGGAGGTCCACATCAATACATCTAACTTGGATACTTGATCAAGGATTTTAGAACTTCTCTCCCTTCATTAGTTGTTTTATCTCTTTATCTTCTTCCTTTGCACCTAGATTACTATATAAGTCATCAAGTGCAATAGTTTTGGTTTTGTCTACTATCCATCAAACACACTAAAAAAATGCATAGCTTCCATAGTAGACCTACCTTGCATGAATCCAAACTGATTTTGCGAAACATTAACATCACACCACAACCTATGCTCCATAACTCTCTCTCACAGTTTTAAAGTATGACACATTAACATTAAAAAGTTTAGTAAGAGAAAAAATTCAAACCTTCGGGGCGTTGCTAGAGTGCTCGATGGGTTTCGGCGGCAGAGTGTGGGCGTGATCGATGGTCTGAGTGAGGACGTGATCATCGGCCGAAGTTACGATGTTGGCGACCGGATTCCTGCGGAGTCAGTCGGAGGCGAGTGCGAGCGCAAGCGTTTGGAGGAAACTGATACGTGAGAAAATGAGGAGGAAGGCTTAGCTTGGCCAATATTAGGTCAATTTCTAGTGGTTCTCCAGCAGTTTTAACCGACGAAAAAAATTTACTTAACACCGACGTCTTGGCCGCCGATAAAGGTGCCGCGAAAATAAAAAACAAGTGTCTTACCCGGAGGTTATTATACCGCCGGTATTTCCGACGGTTTATTATTAAACACCGCCGGGTAAACCGCCAGTTAATACCGGTGGTCATATAGCCGGTTAAACCGTCGGTAATTCTGATGGTTATTTGATTGTTAGAATGACCACCAGTAATTGTTGATTTTCCTGCAGTTGTTGTTGGATGAATTACCTAATGGAACTAATGTTGCTTCTCGCTTGCTTACATATGAACCCGCTCTATCGCCTGTGCATATGCAACTAAATGGAGAGCCTATTATTGTTTTTCTGATCTCTCTTATCTTTAATGATGATTTGAAAGTTCATTTGAAGGTAAACTTGAAGGGTAACTGTTTGGATCAAACCAATTGGTTGGAGGAATCTGCTTCCTCGCTTGGGGATGTTCGTGATGAACCTAGGGCTGATTTTCATGATATGTTTGCTTTTGGAGGTTGACTATTCTATTGCTAAAGGCATCTCGCATGTGAGTGGCAAACATGATAAGAGGAAATCCAAAGGTATTAGTGTTTACGAGTCTTTCTCTCTGTTGTTGTGGATTTCGTTGTTTGGATTGGTGGCTAGGGGGTTTTATTTCGGGGTTGTTGGGTTGAGTTTCTGTTCCTGTGGGATTTTTTATGTCTTGGGTGTGTCTGGTGTATCTTGCTTTCTTGGTGATGGATTTTCCTGGGTTGGATTTGTTTTGGGTGATGCTTCTTTGGTTGTTTTGGACAATGATGAGGCTGCATTTGGCTTCCCCTAGTTGGATAAGACTTGTTGGCAACCTTGATGGTCCTTAGGCTTGTGGGTTGATACTTTTTTCCTTTTGTGGTTTCCTCTGGTTGGCTCGTTGTCAGCTGCCTCCAATGGATGGCCCCTGCCTTTGCTTGTTGCTAAGTGCAACTATTTATTGAGTCCGTCTAGCTTGTTCGCCATATTCACTAGTTTTGATTTTCTCTGTCATATGTTGGTCCTTCGATGTACTCATCCTTTTATTGAATAAATTTTATTTTATAGCAAAAAAAAAAAAAAAAAAAAAAAAAAAAAAAAAAAAAAAAAAAAAAAAAAAAAAAAAAAAAAAAAAACAAAAACAAAAACAAACAAACAAACAAACAAAATCTAAACCTTACATAAGCAACATCACCAATTTTATAACAGAATCAACTTCAAAATAAAATTAACATTAAATTTAGTGATAATTATCAAATATCAATTCTTCATTTTAGATGAAGAAATTACCATTCATTCTAATGAGAATGGAATCCATGTCCAATTGAAATTTCAGATGAACCTATGCTTTTTAATAAATGAAATATACATTGATTATGGGAAACTTTGGAAAGGAAATTCTAATCTAAGGCTAATATTGTGGTGAGAGAATTAATAACATTAAAAGATAAATCATGGAAGCTATAAAGAAATGTTTAATGAGCTAAATTAATTAAATCGTTTATTTATGAGAGCATGAAAGGATAACTAAGGTCATTTAAGTGACTTATGCTCATTAATTAATGATCACAAAAAAATAGCATGCACTTTCATTAGAAAAGAATTGTCTACGAAATCCTTTTTTTTTCTTTCGGGAGGTCGGGGATGAACATTTAGGTGAATTAAGGCAAAATCACACACGCGTCACATAGTCAAGGCTCGAACCCAAGACATCTTGGTTGGTAGCCAAAACTCCCAACCAGCAGACCAATGTGAGCTGCATAAATCTAATCTTATTAATAGACTAATTTAGTTACCAGCTACACGAAATGCTTGAAGGTTAATTCTAGCTGAGTTTAAGGGTCTAAATGTTTATTTTGTTCAAATTTTAAAATTCACCGTGCGTTGTAAAACAATCAATTTAGATTTAAATTGAGTTTTGGATAACTTTACTTCTACATTGTTTTTTTAGGCCTAAACCCTAAAGTTTTGATAGTCGTTATTCTTTTGTTGCTTTCATGAACTTATGTGCTAGAAAGTTGTTTTTATAATAATTAAAAATAATTATTTTACCCACAATAACTTTATAAAAAATTGCAGCTGTCCAAAACATATTTATAGTTGAAGTTAAAACTATTTAATAATTAATGAAATAATAAAATATTTTTTATGATGACAATTAAATCTTAAAAAAATTCAATAAATAAAAACAAATACATAAAATAAGATAAATAAAATATCAAAGTATTAAAGTAATTTTTGACATTATTTAATTTTTGTGCAATAAAATTTCAAAATAAATTATACGAATAACCTTTTTTTATAAAGCAATAAAGCACAAGAAGGAAAATACAAAACTATTTGGACCGTTAGATATCACATGAGCTATTATAGGTAGCTGAGTAGATATTTCCTGTTCAACTTGATAAATTCTAATGAGTTGAAGATTGAAGGAAGGGAAGGCACAAAGTGAACTATGTTTGTAGGAACAACTCCATGGAGAGGACTTCGATATTTAAAACAATGGGTACTTATATTATCGATATTAATTGCTATGAAGGTGAACTTTTATTTGCCTAGGTATGTATGGATTTAATTTTTGTGCTAAAATTTCATTTTAAGAAGCAATAAAAAAAGTCGTCATAAACGAAGCCCTAATATAGAAGAATTAGAAAATTACTGAGTTACTTTTACTTCGGTCAATATATGAATGAAATATTAATGATAAATATTTTATGGCATTTCTTGTTATGAATGAAATATTAAAAATAGATAGGCCGAGAATCGCTCTTTATTAACTAAGTGCGTGAGAGCTTCAAGTAGTTTGCTAATCTTTGATGAATATCTTTGTTTCATGCTCTCCAAGGCATTTTTCCCATTTAGTTTTCATGAAAGGAATATCTTTGTATATTCTTTGACGCTTGTGGACTTATAAAACTCTCCATCACTATTGACAAGCTCGGGAAAGGGCACAACATAGCATCAATTTTTGGTGCATGAAATGTAGCTGTTGACGACTGTCGCTCCTCCTTCGTATTTATAACAGCTCTATATTCTTTGCTTTTATACTTTCCATTAGTTATTATCTAATGAGATAGACAGAAAACAACATAGATTAGGAACATTCATAATAAATTCTTTATGATGAACTCTAAGATTTGTCAGTTTATAGAAATTGATTGATTTCATATTCAACATAGACAAAGACTAAGTTGAGTATTATTGAAAATTCAAAATACAAAGTAATTTTTAATCATAATTCTCATATTGCATGAGTTTTAGTATATTTACTTTCCATAAGTCATTATCTGATGAGATGATAGAAAAGAACATAGATTAGAAACATTCATAATAAATTCTTTATGATGAACTCTAAGATTTGTCAGTTTATAGAAATTGATTGATTTCATATTCAACATAGACAAAGACTAAGTTGAGTATTATTGAAAATTCAAAATACAAAGTAATTTTTAATCATAATTCTCATATTGCATGAGTTTTAGTATATTCGGTTTGTCAATATTCTCTGCTAAAAACATGTTCATGGTGATCTAAGAGGTGCATTTAGTGTTCTAGAAAAGCTATAATATTTTTTATAATAGAAGAATTATAATCAAGCTAATTTAAGGAAATGAATCATTTCAATAATTACCTCTATCATATCACCAATATTGCCCAATATTGATGATTAAAGCTCCTGAATTTGGTTTTACAAGGAACCATTTACCATTTAAACAACTTATTTGTCAAACACTTCTATTATTTAACTATGCTTTCATGATTATATATCTATATTTTGTTCCTAATCTTCGATGTGTACCGGTCTCTGTTTAACCACCTCTTTTTCTTTGATTGGGAGCTTGAAGAACTTCATTATATCATCCTTTGTTTTCTCTATCAGTTCTTCTGGAATTCCATGGTTTACTAGCTGGGCAAAACAGAAAAATAATGAAAAGAACAAAATATGAGAAATATAAAGGCAAAATGATCAATCACCGGAAGCTCAAGGTCATCAACAGTGATCACATGACCAGCATGATCTTCTTCGGGCCTCAAATATCTCTCCGGGATTTCACCGGATCGAGCAAGCTTCTGGACGTTGGGCACGGGCAAGGAGCCACCTAACTCAAGAGGACTTGTGGACTTTGGGTTCATTTTTGCCTCCCTTCCCTACTGCTCTCACTCTGCAATTTATTAAGCTCAAAAGCTTTTCACCAACATGATTTATGCAGGATTTGAGCAGGATTTATGCTAAATCCTGCCAAACGGGATTTGAGCGCCCCGTAAATCTCGCGGCGGAATAAATCCTCCGCTTCCCTCTTTTTTCTGTAAATCCCGGATTTACTAAATCCTCTAGTATGGTAGATTTACGGGATTTGGCCGAAGAAGATCGCGAGAGGGAGAAAGTTAGCTTCACAGCCGGCGAGCTCCCGTCGTTGCTTCGGATCAAAATGTCGTAACTTCCGATACGACAGGAAGGGAAAGTCGTGGAAGGAGCGAAGTCGAACGGCAACGAAGAGCCGAAGAAGCGACGAAGCAAAGAAGCCGAACAGCAACGACCAAAAGAGAAGATGAAAGGCCAACCCTAGTTCATGGTTTACTAAATCCTATAAAAGTTAAATCATACTTTTACCAAACAGCCCCTAGCTTTGATTCGAAAGAGCAAGAAAATATGAACGAGCCGAGAATATCAAACTCTAGAACTCAAAGACATAAGTAAAATAAAATGAATAGATGAGATCGAAAAAGCGGCACAGGAGTGTCTAAATTTTTATTTGTTTGGACGAAAGTTTTAATGCAAGCTTTTTTTTTTGTAATGATATAATATTATTTGTAAGGACTTAGTTGCCTATTTAATGAAGTGATATTTTATATATTTCTAATTTTTAGTAGAGCAATAAAGATTTAATGATCAACTTTGCACAGTGTAAGAATTGTAACAAACACCAGATCTTTTAAGTCAAATTTTCATGAAAGGGAAAACTCATGCGATCTAGCTCCGTTAAAATGATTTTATTAGTTTTTGGCATGGATTACAAAGGATTCTTCCTCAAAAGAAATATATTAATATAATATAAAAATATATTACTTTATTGGACTTGGAAGATCTCTGTGGCATAAGAACTATTTTTAAGAGATTATTTATTTATTTGTTTGGTCGCACTCTTTTGAAAAGAGAATATTAAAGACTAACAAATCTAGTATAAATCATAATGCTGAAATTCTAAGTTGAGAGTCAGAGCTCATGTCAATGGTGTAACTTGATCATATAAATGATATCATGTATTCACATTATTGACAATAGTAGATAATAGAGTTAGTAGACATTGGAGTTGTCACAATCTAATCCAATAAGACCCACAGATGAGACATGTCATGTTAAAATAAACTCTTACACAAAATCATCAATTATACTAAAAATAAACTCTTCCACAAAATTTTTTTTTTCCTTCATTATCAAATTATCTGTGCAATGATTATACTATATTACATGACTACAAAAAAAAAAGTAGAAAAAAATAATAAGTAGCAATTATTGTACATAAATCAAAAGAAGAATACATGTACAAACTCATATAGGATCCAATAACTGCTACTCAACCAGATGTTTCCCTTTTTATGAGACCCTGAAAAATATGAAGCAAAATATCTATGAGCTACAACATCTCAATAAGCTATGTTTAAACCAATCTAAAATTTTAAATATTTTTATTTATTAAACATTTCAAGATGTCTCACAAACTAAAAACTCCTAGACCCTGGGTTTTTATTTATTTATTTATTGAGCTCCCCATGGCCTCCTCTACAATCCCCAAGCAAAAACCCGCCAATCCAATGTCGTCGGCGGACAAATTCTGGCAATCCAAGGTCATTTCAGTCCTACTCATTTCATTTGCAATCAAAGCTTTCTCAGCCCCTGACCCAGCCCCTTCAGCAAACTTGTGCTAGAAGATTCAAGGAGAAAGAAAAGCCATCAAACACTCTTTGAGAAGCTTCCTATCAACGTTTTTTTTTTAAAAATCTCGATCATAATGGTTTTGATCGTAAGCTTCATATCAAGGTATTTCTCAAACTATTGCTTGGCATCTAGGTATTTAAATAACTTTTTATACACTGCATATTAAGCTTTAAAAACACCTCACCACTCTTCATCCATCCAAGAGAGAGCTCAGTTTCAAATTTTAGCCCCTTTGTTATCAAACAGTTTTTTTTAGGATTTAACATTTATCATACAAAACAGTTTTCATGATTTAACACCTTTAGGGTTTTCTAAATCCGGACTTACAGTATTTACTAAATCCCACTAAAATTAAATCCCACCAAACAGCCCCTAAATGATGTTTTTTTTTTAATTAGATTAATCAATATTAACTAATAACGGCATTAGAAAATCATAAAGTTAACTCATAATTATTCAGAGTCTCATAGAAAAGTCAAGGTGAACGTTATTATGCAGCTGGTTATCTCATTTAAACACCTCCTTTTTCATTTGAATAATTAGTAATCATTAATGTTAGAATGATTAGGATTCAAAATGAGTAATTAAAGTAATAATTAGTGATTATCGTTCTATCGATTTTATAAATAGATTTTGTGAACTTTTTTTTGGCAATCAATCCTTTAAATGTGTTTTTAGAAGAAGAGCTTATTCAACTCAACCATGGGTGCATCAAAGCAACCTAACTCAACGTACAAGTGTTTCAACCAACTTTACGATGCAATGAGCAATTGACGATTTTAGGGTTAGGCCGCATGGCAGTCTTCTAACATGTGGATGTCACTTAGGCTTTCTTTGGGACGGCTTTCTTATTGCTTTATAAAGCAGCTTTCTAGTAAAAAAACCATCTAACATTTGGATGTCACTTAGATGTTATTTGGGACAGCTTTCTTACTGCTTCTTAAAACAGCTTTTTAGCACAAAATTAAGGTTTCGTTTGGGACAGCTTTCTTGCTGCTTCTCGAAGCAGCTTTTTAGTACAAAAATTAATTTTTTTCTATTAAAAAGCTACTTTAAGAAGAAGAAAGAAAGCCGCCCCAAACGAAGCCTAAAACTTTTGAATTAGAAAGCAATTTTAAGAAGCAGTAAGAAAGTCAACTCAAATGAAATGCAAACATTCATCTATGAGCTTGAGTTTCATAGAAAGCTATATTTTGGACGTTATAATATCAGCCTATATGAATTATTGTGATTCTTATATTATACTATTTCATGAGGCTTTCAAACTTATGAAAGGATGTCATCAACTGTCCACCATTAATCCTTAGAAATATGTTCATAGAAGAAGGGTGATAAATAAAGACTTATGAAAGCATCTCGACCACTGGAGGAGAAATGCAAGATTTTGATTAAAGATTCATTCTGTAATTGAATTTGTTTCGAGTAACTCAAAGAAAATAATAAGAATCTTCTAGAGTTCTCGTTCGTGTGTTCTAAAAGAACTAAATGCAACATGATAAAATTTTCTCTGAAAATTTTTAACTTTTGCATAAGTTGTTACAGAACAACGAGCATATTTGAGCATCATTTATAGTGAAAACACTAAGGAATATCAAATACAATGATTGAGAAAAGTTTGATTTTCAACAAGGAGTGAAAACTTTATTTTTTTTATTATAATTTTCTTATAATATTTGACTGTGATCGCTTAAGTTTTAATCATCTTTACCCAATCAAAATGACATTGGAAAAGATTCAAAAACTCAACGAAGGATGGGTTGACTCCTCCTAAATTATAATAGTTTGATTATAAACAAAATGATTTTTAATCAAAAGTTAAAACTTAACAACTTCCTTCAAAGAAAATTGTAGTTTCAAAATATTTTGAATTTCAATGCTATAAAAAGAAACGGGGATAGAGTTGTTTAGGCTCTAACAACCGAATCTAGTTTATGATAAAGATATACTGTGAATTGAATTTCATATCTTTTTGACGAAATTACCATAGACTTTATCAGGAATAGAATCCCTCCAATTCTAACATCCAAGATTAGTCAATTATGGACTTAGTCAAATTGTAGCTTGATTTTGTTTTGAAGTTTGACAAAGATTCAAACAAAGGTATCATCAACATCACTAGGGATAGAACCCCTCATGTTCTAACATCCTAGTTCAGTCAATAATAGATTTAAATTTGGACTTGACATCTACTCATAATGAATGAGAACATTAGACAATTATCTCAAAACCAACAAAGGGATGTCCTTTAGTTTAGTTTTAAAATTTTGAATCCAAAGAAAGTGATTTTTATATCCATAAATATCACTATAGATCATCCAGAACCAGGACATTGTCTAGAATCTCATTTAAATTGGAAGATGTCCAAAAGAGAGTTAAAAGATTTTTGAATCATGATTTGTTTATACATCTCAATTAGGTTAGATATGTGAAACCCAATAATGTACAACCAGCACCATTACAATTCCATTTAGATTGATCATCTATGTAATTTTTCTTTATGATTTGAAGATATGAACTGACCTACTCAAATTACTAATTAGAGAGGTCTCAAGATTTAGATTTTGTTAACCCAGATC